ATAATTTTATATTATGTAAAATATATCTCTGCATGTTGAAGTTAGCACAGAATTCCATAAGTCATAATTACTGTTGAAAATTTAGCACAGAATTCCATAAGTCATAATTACTGTTGAAAAATTAAGTTTTTTCCTGAATACCTCTGGCACTAAGTTTTTTAAAAACCTATCAGGGCCAGCACTGTGGTGTAGTTCATATAACCACCTCCTGCAGTGCCAGCATCACATGTGGGCACCGGTTCTAGTCTTGGCTGCTCTACTTCTGATCCAGTTCTCTGTTATGGCCTGGGAAGCAGGAGAAGATGGCCTCTGCCCCTGTGTGGGAGTCCTGGAAGAAGTTCCTGGCTCCTGGCTTTGGATCAGCACCGCTCTGGCCTTCATGGCTATCTGGGGAATGAACCAGCAGATGGAAGCCCTCTCTCTTTCTGCTTCTGCCCCTCAGTAACTCTGCCCTCAAATAAATAAATAAATCTAAAAAAAAAAATATGTCACAGGAGGTAGCTTTAAGATACTAAATCACTCTCAAACATATTTATGGTCCTAACAGGGCTGGATCTCTACTTCCGTATTGTGTTTCAACAACCCAACTGAGAATAGATCAAGGATACTATCACCTACCATCAACTCCTTAGAACAAAATACCTGCCGCAAAAAAAGTCATAATCAAAAGTCATTATTCCACTCTTAATGTCCAAGTGACTCATTCAAGCACCAAAGTCCAGAATTTCAAAAGCAGTTTATTTTCAATACAAGACATAAAACACAGTATCTTTCTTTCTTTTCTATTTCACTTATTTATTTAATTAAATGCCTCTGAATCTGACATTGTACTTAATAGCAATTCAAAATTTTTTTTTCATTTACTAAGATTTGCATCAATGGAAATAAACTCTGTGAAGCATTTAAATATACATGACTTCAAATCCACAAAATGTTGTTTCTCTCCCCACATACTTTATTATTAGTTTTGATGAAATTAATAGTCAATTACTTTGTGTTTTCCAGGAACAAGAGCAAATAGTACCTTACACTTACATGCCAGCAAAGACAATATGCTTATAAATCTTATATAACAAGATGCTGAGATCCTTGAATGAACTAAACCACTGAAACTTTCAGTCCATACACTTATGCATCATGTGACATAGTACCTAGCACAGGTGTTCAAAGCACAACTGGTAAATAAATAATTCATTTACAGAAAATCAAGACTTGCTGCTCAGCTATTAAAAGAAATGGGAATAATTTTAGTCATCTGATAGTTCTCTTACATAGCAGTTACACAATAATTCTCGATTTTACTAAGGATTTTACTTTTTGACCTTAATTTGGTAATATTAGTGACTCTAAAAAACATATCCCCAGATTTTAATGGAGTAACACAGAAGTTTCTAAGTAAGGTCTAACATAGATTTTTTTTTTTTCACTGTGTGGGTAGCACTCCTCTATGTGGTAATTAAGAGACTCATCTGGTGTTCTGCTTGCCCTGGCCATGAGTAGCCCTTCCATTTGGCTATAGGATGTGAGCCCAATGACCAGAGAATCCAAATGTGCTGTGCAACTGTGTTGGTCTACAAGTCACAGGAGTACAGGAGTTTTTAGTCCACGATCCATAGATCAGAACTATTCACACTGATCTACTTAGATCTAAATGAATGCAGGGTTGAGCTGGGCAACAGAATCCCCAGTTGGGCAGATGCTTCCCAGAGAGGATTATACTAAGGAAGAGGAAACACAATTTCTTTGGGTAGACAAAACATCCTCTTTTGCCAAGTGTTTTTTTTTTTTCTTAATTTTTATTTTTTCATAAGCAGAGGACATTGTGAAAGTCATCCTCTGGGGAATTGAAGTAACTTCTTGAAAATATAAATTGTAAATGTAAGGCAATCTTAAGTAAGTGGTATTATAATCAAAGACTGCGCGTAGAGTCTGATTTTGTTTAAGAAGTGTGCGTGTGGGCCCAGCGCTGTGGATCAGCAGGTTAAAGCCCTGGCCTGAAGTGCCAGCATCCCATATGGGTGCTGGTGTGAGCCCTGTCTGCCCCATTTCTGATCCAGCTCCCTGTTATGGCCTGGGAAAGCAGTAGAAGATGGCCCAAGTGCACTGGCCCTGCACCCACGTGGGAGACCTGGAAGAAGCTCCTGGTTCTTGGCTTCAGATCAGGTCTGCTCCAGCCATTGTGGCCATTTGGGGTGTGAACCAGTGGATAGAAGACCTCTCTCTATCTCTCTCTAACTCTTTCAAATAAATAAAAATTAAAATTAAGAAAAAAAGAAGTGTGCATGTTTCAACAGTTATGGAACTCAGAGTGCCTGCTGAGAAAGCCTGTTGAAGTGATTATGATTCATGTTTTGTTCCCATACATACCTCAGCTAGGAGGTGTCCTAGACCTGTAGTGGACTGAAGGGTGTGACCGAAAGGTGTGCCTTTATTTCCTATCAGTATCATAAAGCGTTGCTGTGGTGCTGGCATTCTGAGACTTCTGGTCGTGGTTCCCTGCTGCTTTTCCTATAGCTGCTGAAAAGACAGTGCAAATAACAGGGGGCCTTGTCTCCCTGCAGCACAGGGAGAGAATGCCATGGGCTGGGAGGCCAGCATCCCCGGGCACGGTTTCCTGCTCTGTCCTGATGCAGGCCCCTTGCACCCACGGGTCTTGGCAGCCCTCTGGCGCCATGTGCCATCTGGCCGGGGACCAACTTCCCAAACCTGCCTGAGCAACCAGCTCTGCCCGTGCCCAGGAGGCTGTTTTCTTTCCTGAGATTACAGTGACCTCTCCCAGCTCACTTTGCTGTTGTCTGAAAGTTCCACAGGATTCTCCACTTTATGGAGGGCAAGGACGATTTTCAAATACATCCACCCAACACATGCAAGTGTGTGCATGTGCGTGCACGCATTCACTCACACACACACACACACACCACCTACCACAGCAAAGGGCATACCACTAAAAGGGGCACGATACTGATCTATTGAACAGAGAAGTACCACATACTATTCTGGGCAGCCTCCCAGAGCTGGTGGGATGCACCGTGCACCTGCTCCTTTGGCTAGGGTATCCCTGCAGAGCCTCACAGGGGTTGCAGTGTCACTCCTGCTCCTTGGCAGGCCACGCCACTCAAGTCGTGCCCTCTGGCCACGGGTTTGCTACTGAAACTTACGCTTCGAGTTTGAGCTGTCATCTCTGCCCCTTAGAGCCTCCTCTTGGTTCCCTTTCCTAGCTCCCTAAACCTTTGTATTGGGTCTTTGGCTGAGGTCATCTCCAATTCAAGAAAAAGGGGGGGGGACCCTGAGAGTGAATTTTTTAAGTGAAACAGGAAGGAATGAGGGTTAGAGCAACTCCCCCTCCCCACTCCCCCCAGCTTTCCTGTAACACCTCACAAAGTTCCAACCTCCTGTGGGTCCTCTGGCGACGGGGTGAGTGGGGGAGACCGGTGTGCGAAGTGACCTTCCAGGCCCGCGAGCGGCGCAAGGGTCAGAGGGGCACGGGGCCACCATCGCCTCTTCCTCCCGAGGCGCCCACTGTCTTCCTTCCCACAGAGGAAAGGCGTGGGGAACTGTCTTGGGCCCTCAGGTCCCGGAAGGCATCAGGCGCACCGAGAGCCGGGTCGGAGCGGGGAGGAAGACGTGGCGTGCCCCATCACTACCAGCGGCAGCATGCCAAACAGGGGAAAGGCGCCCCCGTCTTGCCTTCCGCTTGCCATCTCGCTTCTCCCTGGAGACGGGCCGCGCTGCCCCGGGTGACTGAGAGGCCGCATGCCCACTCTCCTCGGGCAGCCCTACCGCGCGCGGCCCAGCGGGCAGGGCGCCCGCCGCCTGGTCCCCGCGTGCACACGGGTCGCCCCCACTCCGTTGGGAACAGGCACACACGCCCCCACCGCCGGCGGCGTCCGGCTCCCCAAGGTAAGCCTTGGCGATGCTCCTGGACAGCTGCGGCGGCCCCAGCAGCTGCGCCGCGGGGCCCCGAGCTCCGGCGCTCGGCCTCCCCCACCCCCTGCCCGCCTCTCCCCGCCTCCTCTTCTCGCCCCGTCACGGGCCACGCACACACCCCGGACACCCTCCGCACTTGGCTACTCACACTGCGGCTTAACCCAGCCGGCAAGGCAGGGCTGCCAAAGAGGCAGCGGGGGGTGTGTGCGGGGGTCCCGGGAAGGAGGCCAAAAAGGAGTAAGGCGGCCCCGGTGTTGGCCCTCTCCTCCCTGCCGCGACCCCTTGGCCCCTTCCCACTCCCTAATCGCAGCCCGCAGCGCCCAGTGACACCTGAGCAGGCGGCGCACAGCGCAGGCAGCAGGCCCGCTGGACTGGCGGCGGCGACGGCGGCGGCGAAAACAGAGCAGAGGGCGGGGACGGCGAGGAGGAGCGGGAGGCGGGACGAGCGGGGAGGCCGCCGCCTGGCAGGGAGTGACACGCGTGTCAGCCAATGGGCGCGCGGGGCTCCGACGTCGGGGCGGGAGGCCTGGGGCGGGCTCGGCGGGGAGGAGGCTGCCGGCGCGCGAGAGGCGGGGGCCGGGAGGAGGAAGGGGAGGAGGCGGAGGCGGGCGCGGTGGTGGCGGCGGCGGAGGAGGCGGCGGCGGCGGTGCTGGCGGAGGAGGGTAGGTTGTACCCGGGACTGTGTCTGCCGAGCTCCGCGGCTGTGCCTGTGTGAGTGAAGGAGCGGCGTGAGGAGGCAGAGGCGAGCGCGGGCGAGCGCGGCGGCGGGACGTCTCCGGCGGCCGCGGCGGGCAGCGGCGGCGCTGGCTGTGGGGAAGCAGCGGCGGCAGCGGCAGCAGCTACAGCAGCAGCAGCAGCGGCGGCCGCCTCTCCGCCGCCGCCGGGGACGCCGAGGCGCAGCTGGTGGCACTGACATCGGCGGCCCTGCCTCTCCTCCTTCGCCCCCGGCCCTCCCCATGTGATCGGCTTTAATCCCGGCCGTGTGCGCGCGTGGGGCTCCATTCCGCGGTGCCCGGTCTCCGTGCCGGGGTGGGTGCTCGCCCGTGCGCTTCTGCTCCCAGTCTCCCTCCTCCACCCACCCCCCCTCAAGAATAAAAGAAGAACCGGGAGGCGTGCTCAGAAAATAAATAAATAACCCCCACACGCGCGCAGCCCGGAGCGAGTCGGCGGGGCTGGCGGCGGCGGCGGCGGAGGAGGAGTGAAGGCGGCGGCGGCGGCGAAGGAGGAGGAGGAGGAGGAGGAGGGACGCGCGGAGAAGGCAGTAACTTTAAAGCCAGCTCAGAGCCCAGACCTCCAGCCGAGCGGTTTGCAGCGCGGCGGCGGCGGCGGCGCTGAGTGTCTGGCCCGCCGGTCCGGTCGGGGTGTGCAGTCGGACGGACGAGCAGCGTGTCGCTGTCCCCCCCCTCCCCGGCGGCTGGAGATGTCCGAGCCCAAGGCGATTGATCCCAAGTTGTCGACGACCGACAGGGTGGTGAAAGGTAAGCGGAGCGCCGCGGTCGCCCGGGTGCACCGAGTGCCGCAGGCGCCCGGGCGGTTCGCCGATCGCCTCCCCTCCCCCCGGCCCGGTTCTCCGCTCCCTGCTCCGGCCGCGGACCTTCTAGGATATTGTGCAACCCGCGCACCCCCCTCCCTCCCCCACGCCGCCCTCCCTGCCCGGCCGGGGGTGTCGGTGTGGACGGGGGCGTCCGTTGGCAAATGGCTGAGCCGCGGGGAGGCGGTGGCGGCCGCGGGGGTGGCGGTGGCGGTGGCGATGGTGGTGGCGGGAGGGGGCGCCCGGGGGGTGGTTGCTGGCAGGGTGTAGCTGCTGTGACAGAAATAGGAAGTGGGTGGCTGCTCGCAGGCTTGCATAGGATCAGGTTTATGGTTTTCTTTCGCTGAGGAGGGAGGGGGTGAAGGGAGGGGAGAGGAGGAGGATGGTGGTGGTGGTGATTTATGGCTTTTAAAAAATTCATGGGGCATTTTTATGTGGCCGTGGCTCTGGAGCGAGCGCCTCGCGCGGGCAGGGCTCTCGGCGCTCCATTGCAGCAATTCCCTGCGCGCCCCCTCCCCCTCGCCTCCCCCTGGACGGGCCTGCACAGCACTCGCGAGAGAGCCGGAGAGCGTGGGGGAGCCCGGCGCTGCCTCCGCGCGCGGCGGGGGCGGCCGCGGGCGGGAGGGGGCCCGGGGGGCGCGTGGGGGCCGCGGGAGGCGGGAACGGCCCCGGGAGCCGCCGCCGCCCCCGGGATTCCCCCGCATGCCCGGGGAGAGACGCGGAAGGCAGTTCTCCAGCCTCGCTCTCCGCCCCCGGCGCTCCCCCGCCGACCTGTCATTGCTCTTGAAGGGCTCCTGGCGCGTGCACACCTCTCCCGTGGCAACCTCTCCCGTCTTGCTTCCTCCCTGCCCCTGCTACCTGCCTCCAAAGGGACAGTTCGATTCCTTTATTGTCTCTTCTCTGCCCTCCTCGGAGTATGGCCCTGGGGTGACCGGCGAACAGAAGCCGGGATGCGTGGGGGCCAGGAGTAGACAGGCATGGTCACCTTCTCCATCTCAAGGGGAACCCACCGTCCTCCCCGAATTCCAAGGTGGAGTGGGGGAGGAACCGTCCTAGGAATCCTGGAAGGATGAGACAACGCCGCAGATCCGCCAGGATTAAGTAGTATCCCTCATTCCCCGGGTCAGGGCATCCAGCAAAGCAGGCGTGGGCATGGGCTGTGAGAGCAGCGGGCCTGTGAAATCCGAAACATCGCTGGTGGTGTAGTGTGTGTGTGTGTGTGTGTGCGCGCGGCGGCAAAGTCGTTTGCACCAAGAGCACTTGGGAAGTAACCCAGTAGCCTAAAGACCATGACACATGAACCCCTCTGGGGTTTCAGTAATGCTCCTTGCTCCTTTCAGGTTTACAGAGAGAGAGAGAGAGAGAGAGAGAGAGAGAGAGAGGGAGGGAGGGAGGGAGGGAGGGAGAGAGAACTCTCGGAGAAGAGAATATTATTTTTTTTTGTTATGTTGGAATTATTTCTGCCTCAGTGCAGGATTCATAAATTCATCAAAATGGAAGAGATATGCAGAAATGATTGTAAATAGGACTGCAGAACAAATGCACATCTATTTCATTTTTTTTATGCAGGCATGAATTCTTATGTAAATAGTCGATTCTAATTCATTCAGAAGAACTATTTACCATTAAAGGCTTGTGTTGACATTTTCAGAAATTAAGGTTTTTGCTGAAAAAATGATAACTAACTCCCTAATATGTAAATTTTAGGTGTAGTTTCAATCTGTAGGTTAAGATCACCCATTTTCAAAACAACTGTTGTAAAGCCCACAGTTCAAATGATACCAGTACATATGTTGGGAGTCAAAAAAATAAAAAATTCCTTGTGTACACATAATGTCACATTCCCTGCTTTAAATCAGGAAATGTGGATTCCTAACATATATGTAAATTTGTTGTTAAGTGAAAAATGTAAAAATAATTGTTCATACGTTCTGTATTGTCTTCATCGGTTAATGTGCAAGAATCATTTCATGTCTATTTTGCTTTTTTCTGATATTATTATAAATGATTTTTCATTATGAGTACACATACCCACCCATAATTCCAAAAATTTGATTTACATATTTTACAACACAGAAATAAAGATATGGATAATAGACTCAAAATCGGAAAAGTTAATTTTACCTTTATTTTGGTAGGGGTCTTGTGAAATTTTCAATGTGAACTTTTGTTCATAGAAAAAAGTTTTATGGTGAACCCAGATTTTAAGGTGGGCACATTGCTGCTATTTGTTATGCTTTGTAGACCCTATATTATTATCTTAAAATGCAGTATTCAAGATTGGAGACAATATGTTGTTCCCAAGTTAGTTATTTGAGATGGTAATGTATTTTGATTATCAGCCTTCTTTGAAATAACATTTCTCCTTGAGTATATATACACGTGCTTAATGAGTGGAAAGGACGGGTACCCTAAGTGGAAAACAAATTATCAAGTGATTTTTCATGTTTGCTGAAATTAGGTGATACACAGTGAAAACGTGACTTTTCTAGAAATTTTGTTAGAACTTCATCTCAGCAATCAAAATTTAATTCATTCGTTAACACAGGAGTATTATCCTTGGAAATACTTGCGCTCCTTAGAGTTTCTCTTTTACAGATTACATGTAGTATTTTTACCTTACTTATTGTGAGAGTGAGAAACACTGGGCTCATCATTACCATGGCATGTCATGGTGTTTGTTTACAGTTACCTTCATGAATCAATTCGGTTTTTGTTGTGTAGCAAATTGCTGTTTACAAATAGAGCTGTGCTGTCCTGGTGGTTTTGTTAGTAATATGATGAGAGCTGTCTGGATTTGTCCTTGCAGAATGCAATGTTAGAAAGGTAGGGTGAATTTAAGTGTCATTCGTGTCATTTTTGAATTTTGTAGAATCGGTGAAGAGAGACCCCATCAATTTTTTAAAAATATTTATTTACTTATTTGAAAGGCAGAGTTATGGAGAGAGTGGGGAAAAAAGGTGGTGCGTGGGGGGAACAGATCTTTCATTCGCTAGTTCACTCCTCAAATGGCTGCACAGGTTGGGGTTGGACAAGGTCAAATTCAGGACCCAGGAGCTTCATCCGGGTCTGGCATGTGGGTGGCAGGGTCCCAACCTATTGGGCCATCTTACACTGCTTTCCCAGGCCCATTAGCAGGGAGCTGGATTGAAAGTGGAGCAACAGGGACACAAACTGGTGCCCATATGGTATGCCAGCATCTCAGGCTTTGACTTAACCTGCTATGCCACAATACTGGTCCTCTCCTAAATTTTCTAAACCTTAAAAATGAATGATGGCAGGGTGCATGCAAAGCATTCATTTCAATTACCTTTGAAAAAGAAGGAAGTTACTTCAGTTAGCAAACCTGTCACTTGACTGTTCTTGGATTAAAACAGTAGAACATAAAAGAATTCAGAGAAAACATCTTGGTGCTGCCATTTGTTGGAAATTTGCATAGTTTGATCTTTTGGCTCTTTTACATTCTATTTTAAAAGAATTGTTGCATAGCTGTAAGGTGAAGAACTGAGGTCAATAAACAGACTATCCATGTCCTGTCTCCCTAGTGTGCCATACAGCCTGGTTTTTCTCTGCGTTGGTGCTCTTGGACACTTTGTTCCAAACTGGCTTCTCTTCATTTCTCTCTGGATGTTCCTGCCTGGAGCACTTTGGCCCTAATGTTCCATGTTGATGTTGACTGTAGAACTTTGCTGTATGACAGTTAGATACTTGGAGGAAATGAAAATGTGTGTAGTAAAGAGTATATGGCTTTGATACATCTCTTGACCCCTGCTGTCTTTCCACCTCCGGGTATTTGGCAATGGACCTTTTTCAAACTTAACCCAAACTCGGAACTGATTCTCATGGTAGACATTTCAGAACTGTGGAGGCTGTTGAGAGATAAATTGCTGGGTAGAGTTTGGGGACTCTCTCTCAGTTACATAGTGCACAGCTGTGCTTTGTGTAAGATTGCTTTTGGTTATGGGGATTCATTTTCCCTTGTGTGTTGTCTGCTTACATGTGCCGTGTGTACACAGAGTGCATGTAGGAAAATTCTGGAAAGATATCTAAGAGCGTATAAGCAAGAAGATGTTGGTTGAGTAAAATGTTATTCTGTAAGTCAGGATTCAAACCACCAGTATTTCTGAGTGGGACTGGTAATACTACATACTTAAAATGAATATGAAAATGCTCTACCCTGGTAGTAAATATCACATTTGGATCTTGAAATGGAGTAGTAAATACCATTTCTTTCTGGTATCATAAGACGAGCTCATTGTGAATTTATTTTACTGACATTATGTTACAATCAGTTGAGTTCATCAGTGATTTTAAAAACCAAGAAGAATCAACATTTAAAAAGTAATAGTTTTGGGAAATGTAGGGGGAATAACCTTTACTTTAAATGGACAATATATCTTAAGATATTCCACTGAATTGTGAAAGGCTAATACCTTAGAATCTGGTTAATACAATTTATTCTAACATTTGTATATGTTAAAAAATGTTTGTTTAAAAGCCTACTCATATTTTATGATCTGCTTTTATTTGTATTTTCACAGATATGAAATAAGGCTTTGATATACCTTCCATGCATTTATAACTTTAGTAGTTGGCCTCTTATGCCATTTCTTATCTTTTATGTGTCAGCCATGTGTAAAGTTAAAACTAATTATGAAACCAAATAATCCATTTAGAGTGACCTCATTGAAAACCAGCATTTTTCTAGAGATACTTTCCCTTTAGCAAACCCAAGTAAATTTCCATGTTGAAAGTTTTGTGAAAATATACTGAACCCCTTCACAACTATGAAGAATGGTCATGAGTCATGATATGGAATTTTGGTAATTACTAAAAAACTAATGTATTTTCAGCAACTTTCTGAAATAGCAGTCTCTTGATATTCTAGAGAGAAATGATGAGATCTTGAAATCTACCTTGTGCAATTCCACTTTTAGATAACTTCAG